TGAAGAAAATACTTATTTGGAAATTTACTTGGAATATTTATTGATAGGTATTTTAAGAGTCTTGCTCCATGCAAACTGTATAGTCAAAATAAGAAAAGGATACACATGTATGGACATAATTGCCATTTAAATAGTTATGCAGGAAAAACATATTGGGGTCTACTTATTTTATCACCTTTACTGAAATTATTGATAATGCAATAGGTAACTGTGACGGGGCAAACAGGCCCCACACTAAAGGGCTGGGAGTAGCCCAGGCCCAGCTGGCTGAAAGAGCCCCGCCCTTACAGCCCTGCTGGGCATGCTCCCAGCAGGGCCAGTATATAAAGCAGGCAGCGGCCCAGCAGAAGGGAGGGCAACTAGAGGTTAGGAGGAACCAGGCTGCAAAGCCGGTGTTCCTGTGACAACTCGGACCCAACTGAAGGCGTGTTGGACCCCGGGAGGGAAGCCGGCCCCAAACCCTCAGAGTAACGGGCACACCTACCCGGTCTACCCAGCCCCGGTAAGGACCGCCGCCCCAACAGACAGACTGGGGGGGTGCCAGGGTGGTAGGAAGCGGCCCAGGGCGGAGGTTTCCTAATCCAGCTTGGTGCGTAGCGGCTGGATTCCCCACCAAGCTGGCAGGACCTAGAGTCCCTGCCTTCAGGGTCCTGGGCTGGGACCCGGTGGAGAGGGAGGGCCCGGGGCCCCCTACCATCTCTTGCTGCACTGGGGGAATCACTCGGGCCAGGAGAGGCTTTTTCCCCAGAACTAGGCCTTGGGTATCGTATATGCCCTGAGAGCGGGGCTGGGACTTTTTGAGACTTTGGGTACCGTATATGCCCTGAGAGCGGGGCTGGGACTTTTTGAGACTTTGGGGTACCGTATATGCTCTGAGAGAAGGGCTGGGACTTTTTGAGACTTTGGGGTACTGTATATGCCCTGAGAGCAGGGCTGGGACTTTTGGGATTTTGGGTACTGTATATGCTCTGAGAGAAGGGCCTAGACCGAGGCATGGGCCAGTAGAAGGGGCCCGCAACCCATGTCAGGAGCGTACCCACTGATATGCCCAGAACTGGACACAATACTCCAATTGAGGCCTAACCAGTGAAGAGTAGAGCGTGTCTTGCTCACAACATGCCTATTAATGCATCCCAGAATCATGTTTGCCTTCTTTGTAACGGCATCACACTGCTGTCTCATATTCAACTTGTGGTCCACTATAATCCCTAGATCCCTTTCTTCCGTATTCCTTCCCAGACAGCCTCTTCCCATTCTGTATGTATGAAACTGATTGTTCCTTCCTAAGTGGAGCACTTTGCATTTGTCTTTATTAAACTTCATCCTATTTACCTCAGACCATTTCTCCAATTTGTCCAGGTCATTTTGAATTATGACCCTATCCTCCAGATTAGTCGCAACCCCTCCCAGCTTGGTATCATCTGCAAACTTAATAAGCGTACTTTCTATGCCAATATCTAAATCCTTGATGAAGATATTGAACACAGCCAGTCCCAAAACAGACCCCTGTGGAACCCCACTTGTTATACCTTCCCAGCAGGATTGAGAACCATTAATAACTACTCTCTGAGTACGGTTATCCAGCCAGTTATGCACCCACCTTATAGTAGCCCCATCTAAGTTGTATTTACCTAGTTTATTGATAAGAATATCATGCAGGACCGTATTAAGCGCCTTCCTAAAGTCTAGGTATACCACATCCGCCGCTTCTCCCTTATCCACAAGACTCGTTATCCTATTAAAGAAAGTTATCAGATTGGTTTGACATGATTTGTTCTTTACAAATCCATGCTGGCTCATGTCCATTCCAATATAGGTGTGTGCGTGCAGCCCCGGGGGCTTATTAGGGGGCCCCTGGTTATTGTTGGGGGCTGGGTGCGGGCGGAGCCTGTCGTTCCTGCCGTTGCCACTCCTGCTCCCACAACGAGTGAAGTCGGGGCGTGGGCCCTAGGGAAGCACTCTAGGAACATTTTTATTTGAGTAGGTACGCCTCTGGGTAGCAGGAGTGTGCAGGCCCACGGACTTTAATGTGCCATGGTATCCCTGAGGCCATGAAGCCTCTAGTTGGTCTGCTCTGAAACGAGCAAGGGGCCCTCAAACAGGAGATACTGGATGGTGTTTTGGAGCTCCAGCAGCACCCCAGAACCCTGGAGCCATGAACTAAGGCGCAGAACCACCCAGGTGACCATCACTCGAGCTGCGGCGTCTGCCATGTCGAGAGCTGCTCTGGAGATTGCTCTCCCCCCTTCTTGAAGAGCCTTGTATTCCGAGCGGGAGTCCCTAGGGAGCATGTCCGTAAACTTGTCCATGGATGCCCAGGTGTTGTATGCATAATGGGACAAGAGGACTTGCTGGTTGGCAATGCGATATTGGATTCTCCCAGACATGTAGACCTTCCGTCCCAGCAGGTCAGACTTTTTGGCCTCCCTGTTTTTAGGGGTGGCTGCTGGCCGCCCTTGTCTCTCCCTTTGATTAACAGCTTGCACCACCAACGAACCTGGGGGAGGGTGAGAGGAGAGGTGTTCGTTACCCTCTTGGGGGACAAAGTACCTCCTTTCCGCATGCTTATCCACTGGAGGAATGGAGGCAGAGGTTTGCCACAAGGCATTGGAGATTTTGGCCACTGTTTTGTTGACCGGTAGAGCCACTCTAGAGGGAGTGTCAGCATGCAGAATGTCAACAGTAGAATCCGAGTTGTCGGAAACCTTCTCCGCTTGAACCCCCAAACTTTGGGCCAGGAGGCGGAGAAGGTCCTGATGTGCTCTAGCATTCACGGAGGGCATGGATGGGGTGGAGTCGGCTAATGCCTCATCTGGGGAGGAGGACGATGACCCCTTTTGGACCTCACCCAGAGGGGCATCCTCGCGACCTGGATCATCCAAGGTGTCCATGGACGAAGAGGGGGGTGGTTGGCTCACCGGAGCCGTGCTCCCCCCTGGACCTGGGGACGACTGGCCCAGAGGTAGAGAACATTCCAAGGTAGGGGACCAGACCAGAGGAGTTGCCGATGGAGGAACTCGTGGCCTCAAGGAGACAGAAGCCAGTCTTGGGGGCGGCGGGGGGGGGGGTCCGCGCCTTGGCTCTTGTGATAAGCCTAGGGAGTCCAGAAGGGCCATTGCCCTGGAGGCTGAGCCCATTGTTGCTGGTATGGGAGCGGAGAACTATGGTGCTGGGAACGGTGCCGAGAACGGGAGCAGCATCGCGAGCAAGACCTGGAGACCCTCAAGGACCAGACAAATTCCGCCTCAGAGTCGGACGAATATTCCGAGGCAGAATAGTTCGGTGCCAGTGCCGGTCGGAGAGCCACTTCCATGAGGAGGATCTTAAGGTGCAATTCCCTCTCACATTTCGTCCTGGGCTTGAAGGCCTTACAGATTTTACAGCCTTCTGTAAGGTGTGCTTCTCCCAGACACTTTAGGCACGATGAGTGCGGGTCACCACATGGCATAGGCCTATTGCACTTTTTGCAGGGCTTAAAGCCTTGTGGGCCGGGCATGGTATACATGGTATGCTCCCTACTGGCCCTAAGGGCACTGCTGAGGGAAAAACTTCCAACAGTGCATGCAAGCTGTGCGCACACACCTATATTGGAATGCACATGTGCAATCACTCGAAGAAGAATTATCCCATTCATCTGGCCAAATAAACAACTTAATAAAACTATTGGTTTTGCCAGCCAGTTACTGGTAGCTCTGGTTTCCATGGAATTTTATAAAGTGCCATATGGATTGCAATTACTGTGCTTTGCTTTAAAAATCAACAATTGATGGCAATTTTCATTTCATCCAGTGGTGAAAACCACTCCTATGAATAGAACTGGTTTGTACAAAACAAGTAACCACAAGATCTTTGTTTCCAATTCCCAGAATCCAGCCATGAATCTGACTCAAGAGTCACTGTCTGAGCAGGATAATGAAGGAACACAATATTCAGTGGATATAGTGAATGCTTAATAAGTGCTTAATAAGTGATTTTACTCATAGACCATGACAATTCTTCTAAGGTATGCTTTATTCAAACCTCAAGCTATGTGATGTTCTGTGACTAATAAACAACCTGTACTAGAAAATTACTTGTTGCTGACATTCGGTGTCAGTAGGGACAGTTGCCACCCAAGATGGTTTAGATCAGGGCACCCCTGCTCATCATGTACCCCAACTCCTTCCTCCAAGTCACCATCCAAACCCTCTGCACTCCATTGCCCCAGGTCACAATTTCCTCCCAGATCCTGTACCCCCTCCAACACCTTCATAGCCTGGGACCTCAGCCCCAGCATCTACCACTCCAAGGACCTGTATGGGATTAGTGAGGCTTCACCAAAAATAAAATGTAGTCTATATGTGTTATCTGTTTGGCTAAGGCCTGTGAGGCCAGAGTCTGGGGTGAGGGGTGGAAGCAGTGTAACTGTCTGCCCCTTTCCCTGGTGTAGCCCCCAGACCAAAAGATTAGCCTCTGTGGGTGCTAGAGGAGGGACTGCTCCATGGGCCACACGCACCCTGCGGGCAAGAGGAGACCCCTCCATAACCATCAAAGAGAAATTATTTCTTTACAGATCTGAACATTGTCTGAAAAGAAAGCTACAGCAAATCTGTATTGATCAGTTCAAAGTTGTGTAAAATCCAGGCTGATTACACAGCATCTAACTCTGAAGCATTCAATTTCCATTCCCACTTCATGTGCCATTTATTACCAACAGACAGCAATACACCAAATGGATGGATAAGTGTTCTAAATGCTTTTTGTGGTTATAACTGATGATCAGTTTCTTAATACATAATTATTTTCTTCTGGTTAAAGTTAGAATTGTGACCTCGTTTCTCTTCTCTCCTGGTGCTAAGAGCCAGTGAATCAAACTGTAAATCCTGTATGTAATGGAAACCACTTCAAGTCAAGGATGCTGCAGGACCTGCAGTATCTCTTGTTCCAGCATCTTTACTTCTCCCCACTCAAACAAACTCCTCATGGCTTTAGTGTACACTAATTTTTAAAAAACAAGAATAAGGGGTGAATAAAATAATTTTACTAAAAGTTTGTCCCACTCAAGCTGGAAGCAATACACTAATAGGTTTGTCATCACATACAGTAAATCAGTAAATGTACAAGTGCGCTAGAGACGATTCCAGTGTAAGCTATATATAATGATCTTTTAAATTTACTGTACAAACCCACCAGACTCTGAATCATAAAATGAATATGTAATATGTGGTCCAGAGTACACAACGAAGCACAACATGCATTTCTGTAACTTCTTATTCTAAAGGTTACAGAAGGTCAGGCAAAAACACAAAGTGCCTACAGCTGTTTTCTGTTATGGACAGCAGTTTTAGGATATAATCAGTTGAACCAGCATGGTTTCTTCACTACTAGCTGCTTTGTTTCATGTTATTTTAAAGTAATTATCAATTGGTGTTTCTACTTTTAAAGACAGTAAAAGACCCCTGAAACGGCCAGTTTAACATGTACACGCTTGTTTTAGTTTGTTGTAGAGCAAGACTAAAAAAAAAAAAAGTTTAAAACACACAGAGAAAGGTATTCAATATAAAAGCCTCTGCCATATTCCAAATTCACTGGACAATCTGGTAAGCATTCTTTTATCCATTGTTCCCCGACTCTGAATCTGTAAAATGGAGAAAAAAAGACTACTTAGAATTCCTCCCTACATAAAGAGGAAACACATTCAATACATTCAACAACCTAAAAAATGTTTCTTTTAAACGCACACAGCAATGAACAAATAGGAAAAAGAACTAGGCAAACTCTCAATGGGTACATCTAGACTACAGGGTTTTGTCGACAGAAGTTTTGTCGACAGATACTGTCGACAAAACTTCTGTCGACAAAAGAGTGTCTAGACACATTCAGTTCTGTCGACAAAGCAAGCTGCTTTGTCGACAAAACCCTGTAGTCTAGACGCAATCCTACAGGCAATAACACCTTCTGTCGACAGAACTCTGTCGACAGAAGGTGTTATGCCTCGTAAAATGAGGTTTACCAGCGTCGACAAAACTGCTGAGTTCTGTCGACGTTATGTCGACAGAACTCAGCGGTAGTGTAGACGCAGGTATAGTTTTGTCGACAAAAGTCCACTTTTGTCGACAAAACTCAGTAGTCTAGACACACTCAATGTCACATCTCAGCACTACCAGGAGCACAGTCCTGCTATCAGACATGCCTAGACAGCTCCTGAAGTCAAATGGAGTCATGCATGCCTATCTGAGGGCAGAGTTGGTTCCCCAAAGTGCAAAATGAGCATATTACTTGAGACTGCTTTGGAACCAGAACAGTTTGAATTACTGTGGGAAAACATGGGCTTGTGGCAACAGATAAGGTGTTGTATTCCCAAATGTTTCACAGGAAGTCTGTGATGCCTTGAGGAAGTCATTTAATCCCGGTGCCTCAGTTTTCTTAACTATAAAAAAGGGACAATAATGCATATCTCACAGGAATGTTGCAAAACCTCATTTGATAATATTTGTAAAACATTTTGAGATCATTGGGTTGATGATGTAAAAGAAATGCAAAGCATCATCCTAAATGGCCTTATTAATTACTCCTTAGACATACGGCTACAAGTCTGGGTTCCTCTCAGGTAACTAGCAAACCCAAGGATTCTGAAATATTAGTCAACTCTGACATTATATTAGTAGTGTTTGGCTGAATATTCTACACTCACTGCTTATGAACATGTGGGATGCATGCAGTGGGACATGAAAAAGGGCTGTTTCATTGTGGGAAGGAATATTAAAAAAACAAATTCTGCTGTTACATTGGTTTAATGTCATTGGAGTTATAAATTAGAAAAGAAATTGGCCTTTATAAATTGTGTAAAAAATATGGAATATTCAAAAAATATAGACTTTGCACCCATCTATTGGTTTTTGAATGGTTCATTTTCAGTTCAAGCATCATTGGAGAGCCATTTAGCTGTGCTTCAGTCTGAAAGCCCCATAAGTTGAGCTGCTTACAGAGTAACAAACCATTCACTCTAGAACTTGGAAGACAGGAAAGTGATCAGGAACATTAAACATGGATTCATCAAGGGCAAGTCATGCATGACCAACCTGATTGCCTTCTATGACAAAGTAACTGTGGACATGGGGAGGTTGGTGGATGTGATATATCTTGACTTGACTTGGAAAAGCTTTTGATATGGTCTCCCACATAATTCTTGCCAGCAAGTGAAGGAAGTATGGATTGGATAAATGGTTTGTAAGATGGACAGAAAGTTGACTAGATTGTAGGGCTCAATGGGTAGTGATCAATGGCTTGATGTCTGGTTGGTGGTTTCAAGTGGAGTACCCCAAGGATTGGTTCTAGGGCAGAGCTGGGCAAAATAGGGCCTGGGGGCCAGATCCAGCCTGCCAAGCCACTAGATCCTGGTACCCTCAAGCATGCAGCTGCCACAGTTTAGAGGCTTTCTGCTCTGCAGGCAGGAGGAGGCTTTGTTTGATCTCCCGGCACCCAGCCCAATCCTCAGCTTCTATTGGCTAAGAGATTGGCCCGAGGGATGGGGGCAACACCAGACTCTTCCTCCTCCCGGAACTGAGAGTCACAAGGAGGGAACAGTCTGTAGTTTCAAGCGATCTGAGGCTGCAGCAGGCAGAGAGTCCAGCCTGCCTTGGAGGACTTAGCCTGCCTCTGGCACCCCTGCCCATTCTGCACCCCAACTCATTCCCCCAGGTCACCATCCAAATCCTCTGACACCCTTGCCCCAGGTTACAACTCCCTCCCAGACCCTGTCCTACACCCCTCCCCCAGGCCAGAGTCCTCTCCTGCACCTGTTCTAGAGCCAGTTTTGTTCAACATCTTTATTAATGACCTGGATGAGGGGATGGATTGCACCTTCAGCAAGTTCGCAGATGACACTAAGCTAGGGAGAGAGGTAGACATGTTGGAGGGTAGGGACAGCATCCAGAGTGACCTAGACAAATTGGAGGATTGGGCCAAAAGAAATCTGAGGTTCAACAAGGGGAAGTGCAGGGTCCTGAACTTGGGACGGAAGAATCCCAAGCATTGTTACAGGCTGGGGACCAACTGGCTAAGCAGCAGTTCAGTAGAAAAAGACCTGGCAATTACAGTGGACGAGAAGCTGGATTTGAGTCAACAGTGTGCCCTTGTAGCCAAGAAGGCTAATGACATATTGGGGTGCATTAGGAGGAGCACTGTTAGCAGATTTAGAGAAATGATTATTCCCCTTTATTCAGCACTGGTGAGGCCACATCTGGAGTATTGTGTCCAATTCTGGGCACGCCTTTACATAAAGGATGTGGACGCATTGGACAGGGTCCAGTGGAGGGCAACAAAAATTATTAGGGGGCTGGAGCACATGACTTATGAGGAGAGGCACGGGGGGGGGGGGTTGATAGCAGCCTTTAACTGCCTGAAGGGAGGTTCCAAAGAGGATGGAGCGAGGCTGTTCACAGCAGTGACAGATGGCAGAATGAGGAGCAATGGTCTCAAGTTACAGTGGGAGAGGTTTAGGTTGGATATTAGGAAAAACAATTTCACTCGGAGGTTGTGAAGCACTGGAATGGGTTCCTTAGGGAGGGGGTGGAATCTCCATCCCTAGAGGGTTTTAAGTCCCGGCTTGACAAAGCCCTGGATGGGATGATTGAGTTGGGGTTGGTCCTGCTTTGGGCAGGGGGTTGGACTCGATGACTCCTGAGGTCTCTTTCAGCCCTATGATTCTATGATTCAACACAGGTAAAGCCCTGTGAGCAGATCAGGTATGTATAGGAAAGCACATTGTTTTCTTTTCTTGGCACTTAAGCCAGTTCAATAGCAATGCAGTGTGTGTTCTGTTGGACTGCATCTGCAAATGTCCAACATTAGCACGTCTCTGTTGGTTGTCATTCTGCAAGAAAACAAACATATTGCACAATGCCTGCTAAAAATGTTCAACAGCCTTACAAATGGCACTTTAAAACTCAAGTGCTGAGATTCAGGTATCCAAATACTAACACAAAAATGTATTTATTTGGAATACATGAGTTACTTACCCATATAAAAACCAGGAATAAAAACTGACCTTTTAGATGTCTCTGTGATGATAATGATGGACAGCAAGTGACCAGCTAGGTTAGGTTAACTTGTTGACCACAATGGAACAAATGGTTCATAAGAGCTGCTAAATAATAAATGAGAATTGCTTTCTATTTGCAATGACTTAGTTGACTATGAAATTCAATGTAGTCTCAGGGTCAAAGCAAAAGAAAGAGAAATATGGAATAATTTTAAAAACAAGAAAATGCCATAAGACTACTTGGAAAAATGTCAGAGTAAGTTTGCTCAGAGAAGGAGCAACAAGTTCCGTGGCACCTTGCAGACCTTGCTGGAAAGGTATAACAAGTGGGGTTCCACAGGGGTCTGTTTTGAGACTGGCTCTGTTCAATATCTTCATCAACGATTTAGATATTGGCATAGAAAGTACGCTTATTAAGTTTGCAGATGATACCAAGCTGGGAGGGGTTGCAACTAATCTGGAGGATAGGGTCATAATTCAAAATGACCTGGACAAATTGGAGAAATGGTCTGAGGTAAATAGGATGAAGTTTAATAAAGACAAATGCAAAGTGCTCCACTTAGGAAGGAACAATCAGCTTCATA